GGCTTTGTTGAATAGCTTCAATCCAAGTTTCTCTTTCAACTGCTTCACCTTAGCCATCGGCATCGCAGCTATCTCCTTACGGAATGCATCTCCACTCTCTCCAATCGCATCCTCATATTCTTCATTGTCTTCATTGTGTTCAGATTGCTCTTCATCCTCTTCACCGCTTTCTTCTTCTTCTGAATCATCACTACTATCGTTTTCGGAGCGATCTTCTGCACCAGCATCTTGCTGAATCCTCATGTTGGCGCTGATAATCTTGCTGTTCGATTCACTACCGCCGATACTTTCACTCCCTTCATCAGACTCATCAGAATCCGTTGACTCTTCAGCACCTTCCTCTTCTTCGTCAACAGCATCACTGTCAACTTCTCGTGGATCCAACTTCAACTGATCGCTAACACCAGCTTCACTGACCGTGCCTTCGGTTGTGGCCGCTGAAGCAGCTTCGGATGCTGCTTTTTTAGCCGCTATTTTGGACTCAAACTTTGCGGATCGTTTGCGTTGTCTTGCTTTCGAGCCTTTTCTGCAACGAACATAGATTACCCATGAGCTGTTAACAGCAGGAGGGAATTCAGTTGAGCCATCAAATTTCGACTACTTTATCCAGGATTCCAGATATTTGGCATTAAAATTTCACGAACGGAAGCACTGAAATCTTGCCAAACTACAACTGAAATCTCTATTTTCTGCAATCTTCATTCCTGTTTTCGAAATCTTCCATAGTTTAGCTATCTTCAAACGTTTGCAAAAACGAACTTTTTCTTCTTTGTCCATTCAGTTACATCATCGTCATTCATCACTAAGCGCGACTGCGATGCACTCATCCTACTGGATGTCTTCACCATCGAACGTTTCTTCTTTTGATCAAAACTATTTGGCCCGATCATGCCCACACCACTCCTCTTCTTCGGAAACGTCCGTTCAACACCGTCAAAAGTGTGTTCCATTGACACTTTGTCATGCAATCAGCACACAATCTGAGCTATTCACTTCGTTAAATTCATCTAATCAACAAACTAAAAACACTTCCAATAAAGTACGACGGCCAAGGAATATCACTCTTCACCACAACCTAACCGTGCATTG